GACGGCCACCGAGAAGCTTAAAAAGCACGGCCGCGAGAGCTCCAAAGAGGCTTCAAAACATGCGCACGCGGGGCCCCCGAGATATGCCGCCCAGGCGCCTCTCCGGCGCCACCGTGATGCCGTCTTGGAGCTCCGTGGCCTCCTCCTCCTCCTCCTCCTCCTCCTCCTCCTCCTCTCCTCCTCCTCCTCCTCCTCCTCCTCCTCCTCCTCCTCCTCCTCCTCCACCTCCTCCTCTATCTCCTCGTCATCCTTCCCAGCGGCGGCCTACTCTCCCCCAGAGGAGGAGCACCGTAATGCCCCCCCTCCGGGGGGGAAAAAACATGATTTGGCGAAGGACCCGGCCATATGCAGTTGTGAGTAACGCAGTTGTGAGCATCGTCTTCGGAGCGTGTGAGGGGTGTGCCGACATGGGTGGCGGGGATGCATGTGGGCACCGCCGCTGGGGCCCTCGGTGGAGCTCCCCTTGGGGTCACGAAACGTGTGAGGGGTGTACCAAGGGTTGCGCGGACGCATGTGGGCACCGTCACTACGGCCTTCGGTCGAGCTCCGTATGGGGCCACGGAACGTGTGAGGGGTGTGCCGACATTGGTGACGCGGACGCATGAGGGCACCGCCACTGGGGCTTGGGCCTTCGGTGGAGCTCTGTATGGGGCCACATAAGATGTATTCCAGTTCGTTGCTGAGAAAGAATTAGCAGGAGGAGGAACAGCAGCAGCAGCAGCAGCAGCAGCAGCAGCAGCAGGAGGGGGAGGAGGCGGTGGAGGAGGGAGAGGAGCAGCACAAGGAGGAGGAGGAGGAAAAGGAAAAGGGAGCAGAAGGAGTAAGCATGGCCCCTATATCGTCAAAAACGCATACGGCGAATCGTCGCCGCCCCCTACCATTTGGAAACGCCTATATGGCGAAACGTCGGGCCAACATTTGGCCAAGATATTGGCCCTCGTGTTCGCCTAGCCGTGGGGGACGTCTTGGGTCCATTTGGGACCGTCTTGGAGACATCGTGGGGCCATCTTGGGCCCTCTTGGGGCCATGTCAGCCGTGTGGGATGCGTCTCAGGACCGTCTTGGAGGCCATCTTGGGCCATCTCCGCACGCCCCTGGTCCGCTGGAGCCCCGAGTGGGCCCGGACCGAGCTGGAGCGCCCGCCAAGCCTCCCCGGCTCGCGCCCCCAGCCCCGGAGAGGGATACGGGAAGCCTTGAGGCCGCTGCCCCCCAGCCCCCCGCCCCCGCGGGAAAAAACAAAGCTTCCGAGGGGGAAACAAAAGATTCGAGGGGGAGGAAAAAAGCTCCCGAGCAAAACATACACAACATCCCGGGGGTAAAAAAAAGGGCACGAGTGGGGGCCCTTTTGGAGCGTCCTGGGTGCCTCTTGGGTCGTGTGGAGGCCATTTTGGGCGCCGTTGAACTATTCGTGCGATGCGGAGCCCTCTTCTACCATCATCGAGGCCCCCGGGGGACACTCTTGGGTCGTCGTGAGGCTCGCCTGCCTCCGGATAAGTCGCCCGGGACCCCCCCGGAGGCACGCGCCTCTTCCCGCAGAGGTTTGGCAGTTTGGGGTCTGGGCGAGGGCTCAAGGGACCTGAGGACACTCCGACTCGGGGGAAGCACTGTCTCTCTGCTCTGTTTTTTTGTGTTTCTTTCTCTCTCTCTCTCTCTGCCCTCTCTCTCTCTCTCTCCCCCTTCCGTTGCACCTTGAGCGGTGTACAGTTGCAGTAGCAGCAGTAGCTCCAGTTTGGTGTTTCGGATTCTTGCTGTCTGTGTGTGTTTGCGGCACGGTGGCGGACGTGTTGCTCCGCAAAAGCCGTTGCAGACTCGAGTTGCCCCTGTTGGTGAAGCTCGGGCATGGCACTGTGGGGTGGCTCTGCACTGGCATCGGTGTGGCTGTGCTGCCAAGTCAAGGGACATAGTGGTGCAATTGCATGATTTGTAATTCTCGGGATGTCTTCGCACAGGAGGCGGCGCTAATGTCGACGTTTGCCTTGCAAGTCGGCTTCCGACTGGGCACTTGGTCTTGCAGTGTCCAGACTCGCCTGGAGCTGGATCGCTGTGCCATCAGTCCGCACTCTCGCCTCGTGCTGGTTGCCGTCTCTCTCTCTCTCTCTCGTAATCGGGATTCGCAGTGCCCTGGTGCGTTCCGCGTGCGAGCATGCGCGCGCGCAAGCAGACCCGTTCTCGTGCGAGTTCCCCCCTGCGCACGCGCGAGGAGAAGCACGCGCACACATGAGTATGCGCACACACGCTTAAGTCGGGCCTGTCCCTCTACAGGGGTAATATTCAAAAATAGGGAAAATCGTATGGGGACGAATTGTTGATACAGGGATTCCAAACAACAGCTACGACGGCATGCCCGGGCTCAGTCTCGCGGGCCTATTCTAAAATCATAATTAAAACATTCTGCAGTTTGTTTCATGCCCTGCCGTCATCGCGCGAGTGATGCTCGAACACCTAGTTTAAACAATGGTCACGGCGATCTTCCCCCAGAGTTTCCTTTGGATTGTCCTCCAGATCTTCACCCAGATCTTCCTCCAGAGGTTCCCCGAGATCTCCCCGCAGATCTTCACCCAGATCTCCTCCCAGATCGTCACGCAGCTTGAGGTCTTCCTCCAGGTCGTTATTCAGACCCTCTCCTGCTTTTACCCCAAACATCCCGACCCGATCTTCACCCAGACCTTCGCCAAAGTTCCTTCTTAGATCTTCACCCAGATCTTTCATATCCTCGCCCAGATCTCCCCCCAGATCTCCCCCCAGATCTTCCCCCTGATCTCTTCCCAGATCTTCCCCCAGATCTTGCCCCAGATCTTTCCCCAGATCTTCTCCCAGATCTTCCCCCAGATCTCCTCCCAGATCTTCCCACATATTCTTCCTTAGCTCTTTCCCCAGATCTTACCCCAGTTTTTCTTCCAGCTCTCTCCCCAGATCTTCGCCCAGATCTTCCCCCAGATCTTACCCCAGACATTACCCAGATCTTCCCCCAGATCCCCCCTAGATCTTTCCCCAGATCTCCCTCCAGATCTTCCCCCTGATCTCTCCCCTGATCTTTCCCCAGATCTCCCCCAGATCTTCCCCCACATCTCCCTTCAGATCTTCTTCCAGCTCTTTCTCCAGATCTTCCCCCAGGTCTTCCCCCAGATCGTCCTCCAGATGTTCCTCTGGATCTTCGCCCAGATCGTCCACCAGATATTACCCCAGATGTTCTCCCAGATCTTCCCCAGAATCTCTCCCCGGATGTTTGCCAAGATCTTTCCCTAGATTTTCCCCCTGATCTTCCCCCTGATTTCCCCCCAGATCTTCCCCCAGATCTTTCCCCAGATCTTCCCCCAGATCTTCCCCCAGATCTCCCCCCAGATCTTTCTCCAGATCTTCCTTCTTAGATCTTCCCCCAGATCCCCCCCCCAGATCTTTCCTCAGATCTTCCCCCAGATCTTCCTTCAGACCTTCCTCCAGCTTTTCCCTCAGATCTTCCCCGAATTCTTCCTCCAGATGGTCCTCCAGATCCTCGCCCAGAGCTTCCAACAGATATTTCCCCAGATTTTCTCCAAGATTTTCCCCAGATCCTTCCCCCAGATTTTCCGGCAGATTTTTCTCCAGATCTTCCCCCGGATTCTTCTCCAGCATTTTCCCTCAGATTTTTCCCCAGATCTTCCCCCAGATCTCCCCCCGGATCCTTCCCCAGATCTTTCCCCAGATCTTCCCCCAGATCTTCCCCCAGATCCCCCCCCGGATCTTCCCCCAGATTTTCCTTCAGATCTTCCCCCAGATCTTCCCCCAGATCTTTCCCCAGATCTTACCCCAGATATTACCCAGGATCTTCCCCCAGATCCCCCCCCAGATCTTTCCCCAGATCTCCCTCCAGATCTTCCCTCTGATCTCCCCCCAGATCTTTCCCCAGATCTCCCCCAGATCTTCCCCCACATCTCCCTTCAGATCTTCTTCCAGCTCTTTCTCCAGATCTTCCCCCAGGTCTTCCCCCAGATCTTCCTCCAGATGTTCCTCTGGATCTACGCCCAGATCTTCCACCAGATATTACCCCAGATGTTTTCCCAGATCTTCCCCCAAATCTCTCCCCGGATGTTTGCCAGGATTTTCCTCCAGATCTTCCCCCAAATCATCCCCCGCATCTTTTCCGATATTGCCCCGCAGTTTTTTCGTTGTTTCCCCAATCTAGTCACCCAGATATTGATTCAGATCTTCCCCCAGATCTTCCTCCAGATCGTCCTCCAGATCCTCACCCAGATCTTCCCCCAGATGTCTCCCATATCTTCTCCCTCAGATCTTTACCCAGATCTTTCCCAGATCTTCCCGCAAATCTTGCTGCAGATTTGCGACGCACTACACCGCCAACTCTCCCTCAGCACATTCCCCAGATTTCCGCCCAGATCTTCCACCAGATCTCCCCTCGGAGGTCTCTGCAGATCTTCCTCCAGATTTCCCGCCAAATATGATATCCGAGATGTTCCCTCAGATCTCCCAGATCTTCCGCCAAATAATCCTCCAGATGTATCGCTTTGCAGGCGCGCAAATCTTCCATTGGACACTCCCCAGATCTCCCGACAGATCTTCCCCCAGATCTTCCCCCTGCTGTTCCAGAGCGTCCCTTGTTATGTTTCATGCCGCGTCGCGGGTCCTGTTCTCGTTTTTCAAATTCCTAGTTGTGTCATCTGCCTTGCTTCGGAGCTGCGATCTCTGTGCGACCACCTGTAATTTACAAATTCCTTGTGTTCAGAATCCCTTGTTTTCTTTTCAACCTCCCTGCAATGTTCTGGCATCTTGGGGATACATATATGTATATATATATATATACATATATATATATATATATATAAAAGACTCGCCCAAAATCCCCCTGTGGGGGGACAGCCCCTGTAGGGGGGACACGCGCTCACTCCCTCCCACGCACGTGTCCGTCACGAGGCCTGCCACCGGCAGGGGCGCACCGGCTCGAGAGAGCGGCCCGTACCTCAGACGCGCAGCCACTGCACCTCGGCTGGCACCCCCGTCGCCCAGGTGGGCCAGCCGACGTTCAAGCCCGCCAGCGGCTTCGACAAGCACGACATCATGGGTCCGCGGCCTGCGGAGGACGAGGCCACTCGGTCCGATGCGGCGCGTTTTCCCCGGCCCCGAGGGGATCTGTGGCGTCAGCTCGGCCCCCGCAGCAGCAGCAGCAGCAGCAGCACAACTTCGGACGTGCGAGCAGGAGAAAGAGAAGGAGGGAGGAGGCGAACGGGAAGGATGAGCAGAGGGGTTTCAACATTTAGGGAGCACGAGGGGGAACATGAGGGAGAATGTACGAGGGACGATGAACGAGGTGGGAGAAAGAGGAGGCATGGATGGAGCAGGTGCAGGTGGAGGTTTGGGAGGAACAGGTGTGCGGATGTGCAGGTGGACGGGCAGCCAGGAGGGGTGGGAGTGGTAGGATGAGGACGGCGACGGCGACGAGGTGGAGGACTAGGAAGACCAGGAGGAACGGGAGGAGTGGAACGGAGAGCACTGGGAGGAGGAGCAGGGGCAGGACCGAGGGCGACGGCGCGGACGCGGACGACGAGGAGCAAGACAATCCATACAGACAGCCCCGACGCTGCCTGTGCGCACAACACTGCGCGCCTGCCACACGAAAGTCCACAGAACGCCTGACCTCCCGCGCCGAGGGGCTGCCCCTTTGGGCCCGCAGGCGAGGCTCCGGCCGCCGTGGAGGTCGGGGGGGGAGCGCGGCAGCCGAGCCCGGCAGCGCGCCTCGCCGGCGATGGCCGCCACGGGGACCGACTCGGCGTGCGAGGGGCCCCTCGCCGGAGTGGCCTCTGGTGCGCAGCGGCGCGCGCAGCTCCCCAAGGAGCCAGACTGATCGGCGCCTTCCCGGGCGCCCGCGGATGCGCTGGGCGCCTGCTGTCCGCTCGTCAAGAAATAGCGGGCGCAGATGGGTCCTCCGATGGCTGAAAGCGGAGCAGCAGCAGCAGCGGCGGCTCGCGCGCCCGGGTGCCGTCCCCCCCGGCCCCTGGAGAGCCGCGCAGCAGAGGTCCTTCTCACCCAGGGCCACTCTTGCGTGCAGCCGAAGGGATCCCACGAGGCACAAGCCTGGTCAAGGGAGCACCTCTATCCAGGATGGCATAAACATCGCGGGCTGTCGATCAGGATGGCGCCAACATCGCTACCGACCAAACCGACCCAACCCAACCCGAAGGCCTCTTTTTTTGCATTCCGTTTCCACAGGGTGGTCGGGGGAGCACTGACAACACACGCACACACGCACACAGACAGACAGACAGACAGACAGACAGACAGACACACAGACACACAGACACACAGACACACGGACACACAGACACACTGACACACAGACACACAGACACACAGACACACATACACACAGACACACAGACACACAGACACACAGACACACGGAACCCGTTTTCCCCAAAACCAGGAGTTCGGGTCTTCGGGGTTGGGTTGGGGTGGTTTGGTAGGTAGCCAGTTAAGGGAACACCTCTATCCAGGATGGCATTAACATCGCGGTCTGTCGATCTGGAACAGAAGCTCTGTGAGCCAACTGTCCTGTTGCCTTGGGCATGCTCTCAATGGTCCTTTACCCTAGACTTGCGCGTTCGGGGCGCATGCATCCGCGTACTCCGTGCTCATGATTGATCTAGGCCGTAGACGCGCTAACGGTGTGTTACCTGGCGGCGAAGTAGGACATCCACTTGTAGGACAGCGCGGTTCGTGGCCAAACCACCCTGTATGAACGCATGGCTCGTGTTTTCCTACATCTCACTGTGTCGCTTTCGTTCGTTACGTTTGCATACTTGAATGTAGGAAACGGCCTTTCGTGATGTCCTACACTTTGTCCTTCGTGAGTTCGGTGTCACAAAAGCCAGATTTCCAACCGCGCCGTTAACCAAGCACGTCGTTTGCGCGGCCTCCGTGCCGTTGAGTGTTGGCAGTTCGCCAAGGTTGCTGACCACCTGGACCTTCGTGAGTTTGGCAATGGTGTCATTCTTAGCCTCCTGAAGGCCCTGCTCAGCAACAAGAGTAAGCTTACGGCCCAGCAGAGAGGCCACCTGCGTAGTACTGCGGTTGGGGGTCAGTGGCCCCAGAAGCGTGAGTGGGCCGAAGGTTATGACACCACGCCTGCTTGCTTGCTATGCCCCCTGGCCGAGGGCACGCTGCTGCACAGGCGCTGCTCTTGTGCGCGCCTCGACAGCCTCGAGGGCGCTCCTGCGTTTCGTGCCAATGTAGCGCGGGCGGCGCAGTCGCCACTAGCCCTTGTTTTTGCTGGGCGCTGTCTGGTGCCGTTTCCCGCGCTGGCCAGGCCGCCGCCTGGGCAGCCCGTGCGCTGGGGGCTTGGAGGGCCTGACTGCTTCACGGGAGACATTCGCCCTGATGGATCGGTGTTCGAAGCTGAGTATCCCAGCCTTGCGAGTGCTGGCTGGGGGGTGCGTGGCGCTTCACCCCGATCGCCTTCAGGCAGTCGCATTTTGCTCTGGCCCTGCGCTTGACCCGATGCAGTGCGTTAATGCTGCCGAACTCGTCGCAGTCATCCATGTGCTGCGGTTCGCGGCGCCGCCAGTGCGCATGTTCTCGGACTCTGCCTTTGTCGTGGACGGCTTCCTCGAACGCGGCCGAGTGGCCGCCGCGGCTTGCGTAGCTGCACACGCCCACCTCTGGCGGGAGTTCTGGCGGTTGGTGGGCGACTGGGGGGGGGGGGGGGGGGGGGGGGGGGGGCGGTTTCGAGCTTTCGAAAGTCAAGGGCCATGCTGCCGTAGGTGACATCCAGCACGGGCGCGCCACGGCGGGCCGCAGGTTTGGCAACTTGTTGGCCGACCGTGCTGCAAAGAGTGCAGCTGCCTATGCACGTGTACCGCGCCAGGGCCGTGCGCAGCTGCAGGCTCGTTCTAAGGTTGCCAATATTTGGGGGGACTGGATTGGGCGACTCGGCGATGGGCTCGAAGATTGCGGCCGCCCCAAGCGTCGCAATCGTGGCAAGCCGCGTCTCCCACGGCTTCTTGTTGTGCGCAATCCCGCCCCGACTGACGTTGCTTCTCGCGTGCTGGCGGCGCAGTGGGATTTCGGGGGCGGAGTGCGCAATCATGACCTCGTTAGGACTGCCCTGTGCGATGGTCCCTCTGTCGTGGGCTGCGCGCGCTGCGGCAGCTTTGCGGTTGCGCGTGTTGCCGCTCTCAGCCAGCCGTGCCCGCCTGAGGTCACCGATCATGCCAAGAAGGTGCTCAAGCGGCTCGGCAAAGGTGAGTTTCGCCTCAGCGCCAAGGTGTTTCGAGTTGCAGCGCAGGCGCCGCTCGCTGAGGCCGCCGCGTTTGATTCCCTGCACGCCTCTCAGCTGGAGGCTGGCGACGACAGTGCTGCTGATTCGAGCGGGGGTGGAGGAAGCAGTCTCTCTGTGCCTGCCGCGGCCGCTCGCGCACAGGCGTGCGGCGCGGCTCCGCAGGCGCCGCGCTCTTTGCCTGCTGCAGCCTCGCCTTCCGCCCCCCTGTTGGAGGCAGGTGATGTTGGCGCCTCTGCGCCCGCCGTGCAGGCTCCTTGTCGCGAGTCTGAGGCCGCCAGTGCTTCGGCAGCCCCCCAGCTGGAGGCTGGCGTGACTTGCGCCGTCGCAAGCATGGCCCACCCTTCGGGGGCACCCCAGCGGTCCGCTGGTCGCGCTGGCGCCTACGCGGAGGAAGAGGTGTCGAGCCGTCGTCGTCGTCGGGCGGGGGCGGAGGAGTTGCCTTGGTCACAGCCGTGCCTGCGCGCAAGCAGCGCGCGCAGCGCGCGGAAGCCGAACGTGCTGCTATTGTTCAGCGACTGCTGGCAGCTGCCAGCGGTCGCCCTCGTCCTCTTCCCCACGTTTTGCTTGATGCTCTCGATGTTCATGGTCAGGAACAGCCTGACCCCACCGTGGGGTCGCGCTCTGGAGGGCAGGCCGTTGGCCTTAAGGGATCCTCCCAGTGAGGGAGATCGCCCAGTGGCCCTCGGCCTGCCCCCCTCCCCCTTTTTCTTTTACTTTCGACGGGCTAGTGCTGTGCCTCAAACTTCTTCTACTGGCCCTGCACAGCCCTTCTGTGCGCGCTGGCGTTCTGGATGGGCGCAGTCCTTGCAGCCTGGGGCGATGTCTCCTGGCTGGGTGTTGGGCCCACTTGTGGCCCTTGTCCGATGCGCGTGGCTGATGGCGGTTGCAAGGTGCGTCCTCAGCCACGCCGACCGGCGGCTGTGGTGTCATAGACTCTCTGGCGCCTCAGGTTGTGCGCAGGAGGAGGAGGAGGAGGAGGAGGAGTGGGAGGAAAGGGGAAACAGGCACGGAAGGGGAGGGGGGGGGTCGAGGGCCAGGACGAGGGAGTCGGATGATGATGATGATGATGAGGATGATAATAATAATGATGATGGTGGTGATGGTGATGGTGATAGGGATGGGTTTGGGGATGGGGATGGGGATGGTGATGATGATGATGACGATGGTGCTGGTAATGATGATGATGATGATGCTGATGCTGATGATGATGACGATGACGATGACGATGATGATGATGATGATTATGATGATGATGGTGGTGGTGGTGAGGATGATGATGCTGATGCTGATGTTGCTGATGATGATGATGATGACGATGATGAGGGAGGAAGAGGGAGAGGAGAGGAGTAAGGCGAGAAACGAGATGGAGAGCGGACGAGGATCTTGGCGAGCTTCCTCGTGTGCAGAGCAGTATTTCATGCTCGACTCCCGTTCCAGCGGTTGATGACGACGAGGATGCGTAGGAGGATGACACGGAGAAACAGGCAGAGTGTTCGCTTGTTCCGAGGCGGTGCCGGGCCTCAAGATTTGGTTGGAGAAGATGGGCCTCGAGGACAGATTTTCATGAACTGACGGGAGCAACGCGCTACCGTGCCTCAGCAATGCAGGAGAGGCGGGACGTTGGAGGTGGAAGTCGGAGGGGGGAAAAGGTACCCACATCTCTACCCTTCCCTCTTTTTCTCCTTTTTGGGCGTCCTGGGTAGCCCTCGTGGCCACCGCTGGATTCGCTTCGAAATCCTCGTTACAACGCAGCCCAGGACAGGTCCAGGGAGTAGCGGTATCGGTACCCTCTGGTTTCCGAAGGAAGTCATAGGAGAGAGACGAGGTTGGCATTCGGTTGCGGTCGATGCCGAGTTTACCAGCTCCAGACATTTTAGCTTGGCATTACCCGATCTCGATGCCGATCGTAATTCCCTCAGTCCCTGATGGCACATCCCCATGGTTGTCATCGTCTTAGGCTTGCCGATCTTAGGGATAGACCAATTCGAGGCTGGTTAGAGTGGGTTGGCCAGGGGCTTAGGAGCTTCCTTTGTTACCCAGATATCTAATAGCCTCCTACCCGTCCCGCTACCCTGCCTGAAGGCTTCTTCAGGGGGCCCTTAGGGCCTCGGGGGGCCTCTGGGAGGCCTCCTTGGGTGCTTCTGGGAGCCCATTGGGCGCCTCTGACGTATCTGACGGTCATGCCCAAGGATGGCTTGCGCGAGGGCCACTCGCTGCTACCAGCCAGGAGCGGGGGGCGAGGTTCGAGGCTTTGGGTTCGGGAAGGCTTTTTGACCTTCTCGGCCTCTGGGGGCCGTTTGTGGGACCAGGACCGTCAAACACGGATCCGGGGAGAAACATGGCACCAGATGGACCCCGAGAGGGGTAGTTGGTACCTACTGTAGCCACTTTGGCTCATGCAGTTGTTTTTTGTTTGAGGCGTCCCTCGCGCACAGAGCAGCCCGCCAGCAACCGCAGCGCCCCCCGAAGCCAGCGACGTCCGGCGCCGGCTCTGTCGCCTTCGCCGCGCCCGCCGCCGGCTTGGGCAGCGGGCCTGAGGTCGGCCTCGCCCTAACATGCTATATGTGCGTTGCCCCCCCTTGGGGCGACGCGCGCACCGAGAAATCTTCTAGTATACGCGTCGTGGCGGGCACATTCTGGCCACACCGCTCGGGAAACGATCTACCACGCGATGGGTATACTGTATGTTTGGGTCGGATGCGTGCCTCCATGGGGGACATGTTAGTACCAGTATGTCCTGTGCGTCCCAGGAGCGGCGCCGCGCCAGCCGCCGCGGCGCGCGCCACCCGAGACGCTCGGCGCTGAGGCCGGCGCCGCCTCGCCCCGACTGGTCGCCTCCGCGGCCCTGCCTGCCGCGTCCGTAGCAGGCGCTTGGAGGCCTGCCCGCGGCCCGCGCCGCGGGCTGCCCAGGACTCGCCCATCCACTGCGGGCGGGAAAAGAGGGGGGTGATGACTAGGGGGGGTGGATATCATGGCGGGGATCATGACATTTCCCCAGATTTCATGGCGCCTCTTCTTATTTCATTACGTCCCTTGCCCCCCCGCTGGGCCGCGCACATGCCGCCGGTCATGATTTGCACTCCCCCCTCTTGGACACCCCCCTCTTGGCCGCTCCCGAATATAGAGCGCAGGAAAGATTGCCCTGGGTGCCCGCCTTCCGGTACTGTGGCATCACGGCTTGGTTGTACGCAGTACCCCCGAAATGAGCCGTGCCTGACGTCCGCATGTGGACGTCGTGCGGTTGTCAAGCCGTGGCTTGCGGCGGCGGGTCAGGAGGCGAGCACAACAACGGTTGAAGTCACAGGAGATGCGGCTCGGCATTGTGTCAGGCTGCGAGTGGACGGAAAAGGGGTGGAAGGTTCGAGCTGGCAGGGGCGAGGAACGGGCTTTTTTTGCGCACTAGGCAGTCGAACGACACGGCGAATTTCTGGGCGCTGATCACCTGCTTCAGCACCACCAGCTGCGCGCTCCACTTCTGGCCCGACGGCGAGATCGTGTGCGAGAGATGTATCGACAGGCGCCTCCTCCCGCCAGCCATGGCGGGGACACTCGGCGACCTTTGGAGAACATCGTGCAGCTGCTCCGCCTCGGCCGCCGCCCGAGCGCGGAGGAGGCGCATCGGGAGGGCTCTCGCAGGCACGCGGCACGCCCGCGAGGGACGCTCGCGGGCCGACGGGCCGGCGGAGGGGGGGGCCGCAGGCCCAGAGGTTGACACCAACACCAAGATCGGCGGTGTGCCTCCACCGAGGGAAGACGATCCCCATCTCGGGGATGGTGGTACTATTCTGGCTTCCAAGGGTGGCCGAAGTATTGCCACCAACACCGAAATCTAGGATCGTCTGTCCCCTGGGGAGGCAGCCCCCTGGGCTGGTGTTGGTGCCACTTTCCAGGCCTCCAGGTGGGGGCCGGCAGGCGCGCGCCGGCCTCGAGGGCCGCCCGAGCTGCCGCGCGCTCGGGGGCCAGCTTTCCCGCGGCACCACGGCGCGGAGACCCGCGCCCCTAGGGAGGCCCGTCTCAGGTCGGGCCTGTCCCCCTACAGAAGGAGCGTCGACGAAAAATCACAAAATCTCCCAACCATAACCCAAACATAGTCCAACTATATCCTGGGGACCACTTTGGGGGTATTTTTTTAGCCCTTCTTGGGGCATGTTTGGGGTACTTTTTTGTCTTTCGTCGAAAATCCCTCTGTAGGGGGACACGCCCGACATGAGGCCAGCCGGTGGTCGACCAGCCGACGTCGGAGGGCCGACGGCCGGCCGGCGGCGGCCTCGCAGGTCGAGGCTGCCGCCCCGCGGGCGGGCCACCTTCGGCGACGGCGCGGGCCGAGGGCCGCCGGCCGCGGGCGTCAGAGGCGGCGATGGGGTTAAGTCGGGCCTGTCCCCCTACAGGGGGGTTTTCGACGAAAAATGACGTCAAAAAATACTGCAAAAATAGTCCCCAGACTATTTTTGCATTGTGTTGGGATTATTTCGGAGGTATGATTTGTTATTCGTAGAACATCCCCCTGTAGGGGGACAGGCCCGACTTAACGATAGGGGCGAATAGCCCAGTGTCAGTATCGTTGATCCGATCCCAGACCCCAGCCCCACCCCCCTCGAGACCCCCCACGAAGTTGCCCCCCCCTGTTGGGGATGCGCCCCTCGAAACCCGCAGGGGACGGCCTCCATCCCCATCTAGGGGGGGTAGATCGGCCAGTGGGGCCCCGGCCACACGCCGCCGAGGAGGAGGAGGAGGAGGAGGAGGAGGAGGAGGAGGAGGAGGAGGAGGAGGAGGAGGAGGAGGAGGAGGAGGAGGAGGAGGGGGGAGGAGAGGGGAGGGGGGCGTATCCAGGGCGCCGAAGATGTCTTCGAGGAGCTTCCGGGCGCATGCGTTCATGCCCCCCCGGCTGCTCGGGATCCCCGCCGACCGCGGCGACCTCGTCCTCGCTCCTCCTCTCCTCCTCCTCCTCGCACCCCCTCCCCCCACTGTTCCTCCCCCTTTTCCTCCCCCTCCTCCTCCTCCTCCTCCTCCTCCTCCGCCTCCAGGGAGCGGCGGACCTGGGAGCGGCGCAGGGACTCAAGCAGTGGCGAAGCGTCCTGGCTCGGCTATAGCCCCACCAAGCAATGTTCTAAGGACCTCTTGTGGGTTCCACGACATGTTCTCAGAGCATTTCTGGCGGAGCCTGACTTGTTTTGTCACATCGGGTTTATGTTCTAAGAACATTGTCGTTGCTCTTAGAACATGTTTGGGTTCTAAGACCATTTCGCGGTATGACTAGGAATGCCGGTACGGTCGGTCCCTGCTCAACTCCACTGTCGGGTACAGCCAGGACCCCAGGTAAGGGGGTCCGGTTAGTGGTAGAGCTCTGGAGCCCCCAAATGTCCGGGGGTGATGACTAGGGGGGGAAATATCATGGCGGAGGCTACGATATTTCCCCAGATTGTATGGCGCCTCTTCTTATTTCATTACGTCCCTGGCCCCCCCGCTGGGCCGCGCACATGCCGACGGTCATGATTTGCCCCCCCCCCCCCCTCTTGGACACCCCCCTCTTGGCCGCTCCAGAGGTCAGTGGTAGGGCCCCAGAGCCCCTAAATGGGCCAGGGTCACTAAACCAGGTCTGCCGCAACTTGTGTTTTTGTCGGGTGGCGACAGTTCCGGTTAGTGGAACGTGGCGGGGGGGGGGGGCGTCCCCCAGTGCACATCGCTAAACCAGGTCCCACTAAACCCAGTTCTGCCGACGCCCAACAATGGAGTGCTCCTGGGTTTTGTGGGGAGGGCGGCGGTGTATGGATTCCCACCTGGGAGCCAGCGACTTCATACAGCGCCACCCTCCCAGTAGGTACATGCCAACATCGTCGGAGTGTGTCTGTGTATATGTGTATGTACATTTACGTAGATAAAGACAGTTGCGGCGTAGCCTACGCAGAGCACATGAGGCTGCGCGACACTGCGGATCGGAACTTTTTTTTGTTTCGTTTCTCTCTCTCTCTCTCTCGCCGAACAGCACTGACATTCACCAATGACAATCCGGGCGACGAGCAGTCGTGCAACGGGAGGATGAGCGTGCCATGCCTTACCTCGTCGGAGACGGTGGAAGTGCAAACGGCTCAGAAGACATTGGGACATGCCTCAAGTGATCCAGTCCAGGTGTGTGTTGCGCAGTCGGAGGAAGGAGGGAGAACACAGAGGAGGGAGGAGGAATGATGAGGAGGAGGTCGGAGGAATGATGATGCTGATGACGATGATGATGAAGACCATGATGATAATGCGGCTGCTGATGATGATGATTATGATGATGGTGGTGATGGTGATGGTGATGGTGATGGTGATGGTGATGGTCATGATGATGATGATGGTGATGATGATGATGATGATGATGATGATGATGATGATGATTATGATGATGCTGATACTGGTGATGATGCTGATGCTGAAGAAGAGGAGGATGTCGATGATGGTGCTGATGATGACTATGCTGATGATGATGGTGGTGGTGATGATGATGATGTTGCTGATGGTGATGGCGATGATGAGAATGGTGTTGATAATGATGCAGATGATGTTGATGACGAT